ACATCGACTTTACTGTCGCCTTCAAGATTTGATATTCACAGCATCTTCTGCACTGTAAAACTCATTCAGAAATGTTTCCAATCTTCTTGGGGTTAAGCATCAAAAGTGGGCGACTCAGGTGAAAAGCTGTAGGGAGAATCTTGTGGTATTATTAGGTTTCTTGCTGAGAGAAAAACCGAGACCTGAAAGGGAACAAAGTCTAGTTCTTGATAACGAGAGAACAGGACAAGGGAAGGCAAGACCATGAAAGGTTAAAGAAGGCTGTAAAGTTACCCTGAATGACCACACACACACAGGCCAGGTAGTCACACCGGGAAGGTAAGAGTCAACAAAGCAAACATAACTTACATGTTTTACCTCACGAGTCCTCAATTAGATTATTTTGGCTGCGTTATACAAACTCTATAAACGTCTTGCCTCCGTTATTGTTTACACGGTAAGATCTGTCCTGGACGACTGGCCCGCCTGTGGCCAGTATTAGGGCCACACAAGTGTATATATAAGTCATTATATAGTTGTACGCATCATTTAATAGGATCTAGTGTCAAATATTTACCTACATTAAGAATAGTTATATAAATACTATTATTATGTTCAGTAAACATAATTTTTGAATAAGATATATCTTGTCAGGTTTAGCGGTGAGACAGAGTAGGTGAGCTCACACGTCATCACTCATTGTGGGTATATTGCCAAGATTAATGCCATGATATTGTCTCTGTTGTAGTGTATTACATAGTTTACCAATAGACGGTTCTCTCAACACAGCGTGAGGGAGGTGTTGTTATTGTGTCTCAGACCAGCGGTAATGCTGCACAGGAGGAAGGAGTCACATGAGTTATTGGTCGATACAAGTCACTACCAGAGAGTCTCATCATCACTAACTCCTCCTCTTCTCACTAGTTCCGCTTGACACCCTCAGCTCAGAGTGTCACGCGCTTGGCTGAAGTAAGACACAAGTGTGGGAGTCTTGGTGATGAGAGTGTTAGTGTCAAGCTGTCGGGAATAACATGTTACAGCTTCACTCACGTAATGATGTTATGACTCAGCGAGATCCTCAACCCATACACCCGTCCCGCCGCTCTCCTTCACTGGGACGGAGGACGAGCAGTTTGATGGAGACAGATAGATCACCTCAGCTTCAGTAATATGGTGTGTCAGCTGCAGTATGCCTTCAGGACACACACCGTTATGGAGTGTCAGCTGCAGTATGCCTTCAGGACACACACTGTTATGGTGTGTCAGCTGCAGTATGCCTTCAGGACACATACTGTTATGGTGTGTCAGCTGCACTATGTCTTCAGGACACACACTGTTATGGTGTGTCAGCTGCAGTATGCCTTAAGGACACATACTGTTATGGTGTGTCAGCTGCAGTATGTCTTCAGGACACACACTGTTATGGTGTGTCAGCTGCAGTATGTCTTCAGGACACACACTGTTATGGTGTGTCAGCTGCAGTATGTCTTCTGGACACACACTGTTATGGTGTGTCAGCTGCAGTATGTCTTCTGGACACACAATGTTATGGTGTGTCAGCTGCACTATGTCTTCAGGACACACACTGTTATGGTGTGTCAGCTGCAGTATGCCTTAAGGACACATACTGTTATGGTGTGTCAGCTGCAGTATGTCTTCAGACACACACACTGTTATGGTGTGTAGCTGCAGTATGTCTTCAGGACACACACTGTTATGGTGTGTCAGCTGCAGTATGTCTTCAGGACACACACTGTTATGGTGTGTCAGCTGCAGTATGTCTTCTGGACACACACTGTTATGGTGTGTCAGCTGCAGTATGTCTTCAGGACACACACTGTTATGGTGTGTTAGCTGCAGTATGTCTTCAGGACACACACTGTTATGGTGTGTCAGCTGCAGTATGTCTTCAGGACACACACTGTTATGGTGTGTCACTGCAGTATGTCTTCAGGACACACACTGTTATGGTGTGTCAGCTGCAGTATGTCTTCAGGACACACACTTTTATGGTTTGTCAGTTGCAGTATGTCTTCAGGACACACACTGTTATGGTGTGTCAGCTGCAGTATGTCTTCAGGACACACACTGTTATGGTGTGTCAGTTGCAATATGTCTTGAGGACACACACTGTTATGGCGTGTTAGCTGCAGTATGTCTTCAGGACTGCACTTTTATGGTGTGTCAGCTGCAGTCATCTTCAGGACACACACTGTTATGGTGTGTTAGCTGCAGTATATGTCTTCAGGACACACACTGTTGTATGGTGTGTCGGCTGCAGTATGTCTTGGGACACACACTTTTATGGTTTGTCAGTTGCAGTATGTCTTCAGGACACACACTGTTATAAGTGTGTCAGCTTTGCAGTGTGTCTTCCAGGACACACACTTTTAGCAGTGTGTCAGCTGCAGTGTCTTGAGGACACACACTGTTATAGCGCAGTGTTAGCTGCAATGTGTCTTCAGGGAAACATACAGTTATGGTGTGTCAGCTTTGGTATATAGCTGGGACACACTGTTATGGTGTGTCAGTTGCAATATGTCTTGAGGACACACACTGTTATGGCGTGTTAGCTGCAGTATGTCTTCAGGAAACATACAGTTATGGTGTGTCAGCTCCAGTATGCCTTCAGGACTCACACTGTCATGATGTGTTAGCTGCAGATATGTCTTCAAGACACACACTGTTATGGTGTGGCAGCTGCAGGATGTCTTCAGGACACATACTGTTAAGGTATGTCAGCTGCAGTATGTCTTCAGGACACACACTGTTTTGATGTGTCAGCTGCAGTATGTCTTTAGGACACCAACTGTTATGATGTACACAGCTGCAGTATGCCTTCAGGACACACACTGTTATGGTGTGTCAGCTGCAGTATGTCTTCTGGACACATACTGTTAAGATGTGTCAGCTGCAGTATGCCTTCAGGACACACACTGTTATGATGTGTTAGTTGCAGTATGCCTTCAGGACACACACGGTTATGGTGTGTCAACTGCAGTATGTCTTCAGGACATATACAGTTATGATGTGTTAGCCGCAGTATGTCTTCAGGACACACACTGTTATGATGTATCAGCTGCAGTATGCCCTCAGGACACACATTGTTATGGTGTGTTAGGTGCAGTATGCCTTCAGGACACACACTGTTATGGTGTGTCAGCTGCAGTATGTCTTCATGACACACACTGTTATGATGTATCAGCTGCAGTATGTCTTCAGGACGCACACTGTTATGGTGTGTCAGCTGCAGTATGTCTTCAGGACACATACTGTTAAGATGTGTCAGCTGCAGTATGCCTTCAGGTCACACACTGTTATGATGTGATAGTTGCAGTATGCTTTCAGGACACACATTGTTATGGTGTGTCAGCTGCAGTATGCCTTCAGGACACACACTATTATGGTGTGTCAGCTGCAGTATGTCTTCAGGACACACACTGTTATGATGTGTCAGCTTCAGTATGTCTTCAGGACACACACTGTTATGGTGTGTCAGCTGCATTATGTCTTTAGGACACACACTGTTATGATGTATCAGCTGCAGTATGCCCTCAGGACACACATTGTTATGGTGTGTTAGGTGCAGTATGCCTTCAGGACACACACTGTTATGGTGTGTCAGCTGCAGTATGTCTTCATGACACACACTGTTATGATGTATCAGCTGCAGTATGTCTTCAGGACACACACTGTTATGGTGTGTCAGCTGCAGTATGTCTTCAGGACACACACTGTTATGATGTGTCAGCTGCAGTATACAGGACACATATTCTATGGTGTGTCAGCAGCAGTATGTCTTCAGGACACACACTTTATGATGTCATGCAGGATGTTCAGGACACATACTGTTATCGTGTGTCAGCTGCAGTATGCCTTCAGGACACACACGGTTATGGTGTGTCAGCTGCAGTATGTCTTCAGGCTACACACTGTTATGATGTATCAGCAGCAGTATGGCTTCAGGACACACATTGTTATGGTGTGTTAGCTGCAGTATATCTTCAAGACACACACTGTTATGGTGTGTCAGCTGCAGTATATCTTCAAGACACACACTGTTATGATGTATCAGCTGCAGTATGCCTTCAGGACACATACTGTTATGATGTGCTAGGGTGCAGTATGCCTTCAGGACACACACACTGTTATGGTGTACAGCTGAAGATGTCTTTAGGACACACACACTGTTATGATGTATCAGCTGCAGTATATTCCCTCAGACACACATATACATTGTTATGGTGTGTTAGGTGGTATGCCTTCAGGACACACACTGTTATGGTGTGTCAGCTGCATTATGTCTTTAGGACACACACTGTTATGATGTATCAGCTGCAGTATGTCTTCAGGACACATACTGTTTTGATGTGTCAGCTGCAGTATGTCTTCAGGACACTCACTGTTATGATGTGTCAGATGCAGTATGTTTTCAGGACACATATTCTTATGGTGTGTCAGCAGCAGTATGTCTTCAGGACACACACTTTTATGATGTGTCAGCTGCAGGATGTCTTCAGGACACACACTGTTATCGTGTGTCAGCTGCAGTATGCCTTCAGGACACACACGGTTATGGTGTGTCAGCTGCAGTATGTCTTCAGGCTACACACTGTTATGATGTATCAGCAGCAGTATGGCTTCAGGACACACATTGTTATGGTGTGTTAGCTGCAGTATATCTTCAAGACACACACTGTTATGGTGTGTCAGCTGCAGTATATCTTCAAGACACACACTGTTATGATATATCAGCTGCAGTATGCCTTCAGGACACATACTGTTATGATGTGCTAGTTGCAGCATGCCTTCAGGACACACACTCTTATGGTGTGTCAACTGCAGTATGCCTTCTGGACACATGCTGTTATGGTGTGTCAGCTGCAGTATGTCTTCCTGACACACACTGTTATGGTGTGTCAGCTGCAGTATGTCTTCAGGACACACACTGTTATGATGTATCAGCTGCAGTATGCCTTCAGGACACACATTGTTATGGTGTGTTGGGTGCGAGTATGCCTTCAGGACACCGTGTTATGTGGTGGTGTCAGCTGCAGTATGCCTTCAGGACACACACTGTTATGATGTGTTAGTTGCAGTATGCTTTCAGGACACACATTGTTATGGTGTGTCAGCTGCAGTATGTCTTCAGGACACATTCTGTTATGATGTTTTAGCTGCAGTATGTCTTCAGGATGCACACTGTTATGGTGTGTCAGCTGCAGTATGTCTTCAGGACACATACTGTTAAGATGTGTCAGCTGCAGTATGCCTTCAGGACACACACTGTTATGATGTGTTAGTTGCAGTATGCTTTCAGGACACACATTGTTATGGTGTGTCAGCTGCAGTATGCCTTCAGGACACACGCTATTATGGTGTGTCAGCTGCAGTATGTCTTCAGGACACACACTGTTATGATGTATCAGCTTAAGTATGCCTTCAGGACACACACTGTTATGGTGTGTCAGCTGCAGTATGTCTTTAGGACACACACTGTTATGATGTATCAGCTGCAGTATGTCTTCAGGACACATACTGTTTTGATGTGTCAGCTGCAGTATGTCTTCAGGACACTCACTGTTATGATGTGTCAGATGCAGTATGTTTTCAGGACACATATTCTTATGGTGTGTCACCTGCAGTATGTCTTCAGGATACACACTGTTATGATGTGTCATGGTGTGTATGTCTTCAGGACACACATTGTTATGGTGTGTTAGCTGCAGTATGCCTCCAGGACACACACTGTTATGATGTGTTAGCTGCAGTATGTGTTCAGGACACACATTGTTATGGTGTGTCAGCTGCAGTATGTGTTCAGGATACACACTGTTATGATGTGTCACCTGCAGTATGTCTTCAGGACACACATTGTTATCGTGTGTCAGCTGCAGTATGCCTTCAGGACACACACTGTTATGATGTGTTAGCTGCAGTATGTGTTCAGGACACACATTGTTATGGTGTGTCACCTGCAGTATGTCTTCAGGATACACACTGTTATGATGTGTCACCTGCAGTATGTCTTCAGGACACACATTGTTATCGTGTGTCAGCTGCAGTATGCCTTCAGGACACACACTGTTATGGTGTGTCAGCTGCAGTATATCTTCAAGACACACACTGTTATGATGTATCAGCTGCAGTATGCCTTCAGGACACATACTGTTATGATGTGCTAGTTGCAGCATGCCTTCAGGACACACACTCTTATGGTGTGTCACCTGCAGTATGTCTTCAGGATACACACTGTTATGATGTGTCACCTGCAGTATGTCTTCAGGACACACATTGTTATGGTGTGTTAGCTGCAGTATGCCTCCAGGACACACACTGTTATGATGTGTTAGCTGCAGTATGTGTTCAGGACACACATTGTTATGGTGTGTCAGCTGCAGTATGTGTTCAGGACACACACTGTTATGATGTGTTAGCTGCAGTATGCCTTCAGGACACACACTGTTATGATGTGTTAGCTGCAGTATGCTTTCAGGATACACATTGTTATGGTGTGTTAGCTGCAGTATGCCTTCAGGACTCACACTGTTATGATGCGTTAGCTGCAGTATGTCTTCAAGACACATACTGTTCTGATGTTTCAACTGCAGTATGTCTTCAGGACACATACTATTATGGTGTGTCAGCCGCAGTATGTCTTCAGGACACACACTGTTATGGTGTGTCAACTGCAGTATGTTTTCAGGATACACACTGTTATGATGTGTCAGCTGCAGTATGTCTTCAGGACACACACTGTTATGGTGTGTCAACTGCAGTATGTCTTCAGGACACATACTGTTATGATGTGTTAGCTGCACTATGTCTTCAGGACACATACTGTTATAATGCGTCTGCTGCAGTATGTCTTCAGGACACATACTGTTATGGTGTGTTAGCTGCAGTATGTCTTCAGGACACACACTGTTATGGTGTGTCAACTGCAGTATGTCTTCAGGACACATACTGTTATGATGTGTTAGCTGCAGTATGTCTTCAGAACACATACTGTTATGATGTGTTAGCTGCAGTATGTCTTCAGGACACATACTGTTATGATGTGTTAGCTGCAGTATGTCTTCAGAACACATACTGTTATGATGTGTCAACTGCAGTATGTCTTCAGGACACATACTGTTATGATGTGTTAGCTGCAGTACCGTATGTCTTCAGGACACATACTGTTATGATGTGTCAGCTGCAGTATGTCTTTAGGACACACACTTTTATGGTGTGTTAGCTGCAGTATGTCTTCAGGACACATACTGTTATGATGTGTTAGCTGCAGTATGTCTTCAGAACACATACTGTTATGATGTGTTAGCTGCAGTATGTCTTCAGAACACATACTGTTATGATGTGTCAGCTGCAGTATGTCTTTAGGACACACACTTTTATGATGCATTAGCTGCAGTATGTCTTCAGGACACATACTGTTATGGTGTGTCAACTTCAATATGTCTTCAGGACACACACTGTTATGATGTGTTAGCTGCAGTCTTTCTTCAGGACACACACTGTTATGATGTGTTAGCGTTAGCTGCAGTATGTCTTCAGGACACATACTATTATGGTGTGTTAGCTGCAGTATGTCTTCAGGACACATACTGTTATTATGTATCAGCTGCAGTATGTCTTCAGGACACATACTGTTATGATGTGTTAGTTGCAGTATGTCTTCAGGACGCGCTTTTCATGGTGTGTCAGCTGCAGTATGCCTTCAGGACACACACTGTTATGATGTTTTAGCTGCAGTATGTCTTCAGGACACACCGTTAGTGATGTAAGAAGCTGCATATGTTCTCAGGACACATACTGTTATGATGTTTTAGCCGCAGTATGTCTTCAGGACGCGCTTTTTATGGTGTGTCAGCTGCAGTATGCTTCAGGACACACATGGTTATGGCGTGTCAGCTGCAGTATGCCTTCAGGACACATACTGTTATGGTGTGTCAGCTGCAGTATGTCTTCAGGACACACACTGTTATGATGTATCAGCTGCAGTATGCCTTCAGGACACACACGGTTATGGCGTGTCAGCTGCAGTATGTCTTCAGGACATACACTGTTATGATGTATCAGCTTCAGTATGCCTTCAGGACACACACTGTTATGGTGTGTCAGGTGCAGTATGTCTTCAGGACACACACTGTTATGATGTATCAGCTGCAGTATGCCTTCAGGACACACACTGTTATGGTGTGTCAGCTGCAGTATGTCTTCAGGACACACACTGTTATGATGTATCAGCTGCAGTATGCCTTCAGGACACACATTGTTATGGCGTGTTAGCTGCAGTATGCCTTCAGGACACACACGGTTATGGCGTGTCAGCTGCAGTATGCCTTCAGGACACACACTCTTATGGTGTGTTAGCTGCAGTATGTCTTCAGGACACACACTGTTATGATGTGTCAGCTGCAGTATGTCTTCAGGACACACATTGTTATGATGTATGAGCTGCAGTATGGCTTCAGGGCACACGTTGTTATGGTGTATCAGCTGCAGTATGGCTTCAGGGCACACATGACGTGTTGCGGCAGTCAGCTGCAGTATGTCTTTCAGGACACACACGGTTATGGCGTCAGCTGCAGTATGTCTTCAGGACACACTGTTGGCGGTGTATCAGCGCAGTATGCCTTCAGGACACACACGGCTGCGGCGTGTCAGCTGCAGTATGTCTTCAGGACACACACTGCTGGCGTCAGCTGCAGCATGGCTTCAGGGCACACATTGTTATGGTGTGTCAGCTGTGGCGCCGCACACACCGGTTATGATGTGTCAGCTGCGCGTCTTCAGAATAACACACCAGCGTGTATCAGCTGCAGTATGTCTTCAGGACACACACTGTTGGCGGTGTATCAGCTGCAGTATGTCTTTCAGGACACACACTGTTGCGATGTATCAGCTGCATTATGGCTTCAGGGCACAACATTGTTGCGGTGTGTTAGCTGCAGTATGTCTTCAGGACACACACTGTTATGATGTGTTAGCTGCAGTATGCTTTCAGGACACACATTGTTATGGTGTGTTAGCTGCAGTATTCCTTTAGGACACACACTGTTATGATGTGTTAGCTGCAGTATGCCTCCAGGACACACACTGTTATGATGTGTTAGCTGCAGTATGCCTTCAGGACACACACTGTTATGATGTGTTAGCTGCAGTATGCTTTCAGGACACACATTGTTATGGTGTGTTAGCTGCACTATGCCTTCAGGACACACACTCTTATGATGTGTTAGCTGCAGTATGCCTCCAGGACACACACTGTTATGATGTGTTAGCTGCAGTATGCTTTCAGGACACACATTGTCATGATGTGTTAGCTGCAGTATGTGTTCAGGACACACACTGTTATGGTGTGTTAACTGCAGTATGTCTTCAGGACACGTACTGTTATGATGTGTTAGCTGCAGTATGTCTTCAGGACACACACTGTTATGGTGTGTCAGGATACAGTATTAAATAATAAGATAATTTGACCAATGTCTTAAGTAACACTCCTTTACCAGCTGTTGTTAGAGACAGGGACATAACCACTCCTCGGTTCTCTGACTCTTGATGAGCGATATTTTAATTAATCTCACAATTTATTTGAGTGTGTGGATGATCGAGGCCTCGTCAGTGTTTATATTGGGCGATGGTAACGTGTTCTCTTGGTGTTGGTAATTTTCACTTTATCGGTCTTGGTGAGTCTTGTGTCACATTCTACTCAAATTGATGGTTGATGTCTTCCTCCAGTCAATATTGATTCACTTCAGTTGTTTCTTAAATTATTGACACTTTTCATTTTCTTCTCTGGTGTGTGTGTGTGTGTGTGTGTGTGTGTGTGTGTGTGTGTGTGTGTGTGTGTGTGTGTGTGTGTGTGTGTGTGTGTGTGTGTGTTTGTGTGTGTGTGTGTGTGTGGACCGCTGGTAACTGTTGAGTGCAGCGTGACACTCGCCTCATGTAACACTTCCCCCAGAGAAAGACAAAGCTTATTTTCGCCATCTGTACATATACAGGTACAGGTACAGACTTATGGTACACTTACAGGTACAGGTTTAGACTTATGGTACACTTACAGGTACAGGTATAGACTTATGGTACACCTACAGGTACAGGTACAGACTTATGGCACACTTGCAGGTATACGTACAGACTTATGGTACACTTACAGGTACAGGTATAGACTTATGGTACACTTACAGGTACAGGTATAGACTTATGGTACACTTACAGGTACAGGTACAGAGTTATGGTACACTTACAGGTACAGGTACTGATTTATGGTATACTTACAGGTACAGGTATAGACTTATGATACACTTACAGGTACAGGTACAGACTTATGGTACACTTACAGGTACAGGTAAAACAATATGTAAACACAGCAGGAACAATAAAAAATACGGGAATAAAAGTTTCAAGTACAAGAATGCAGGTGCAGGTACAGGTACATATTCAAATACAGGTACAGGTATACGAACATATATTTCTAAAGACTAAAACTTACAAGTCGACAAAATGAGAAAGAATTTAAAGGACTTTGGAGTGAGTGAGCAGGTGGATACATTTAGCCCAACCTTCCCCTGGCCAGTAACTCTCGACCCCTCCCGCCCTTGTTTAGAAAGTCACTATGGAACTGTGAATGTTGCCGCTCTGCTGTGAAATATATCGTCTTCTGTATATAATATTATTGTGAAGCTTTAAATGTGGCTTTGATATACAGGATTTCCATTACAATATCAACACTCATTTACATGTATAATTACCAATTTCTATATTCAACAAAGGGTCTTCTTAATTTATGGTGATACACAGTTTCTCAATTTCATTCCAGACAAAAATGTGTAATTTATAAGACACAGTTAAGGGTCATTATGAGAGCTCAAACATCACCACCTGAACAGTTATTTGTGACATTATCATCAACAATAATTACGTATACCAATAAATATTGATATTTATATTATTAATACTTATATAGTTTTGTCAGTGCCGCGTGAGTAGAGAGGTCAATGGTGTGTGTGTGTGTGTGTGTGTGTGTGTGTGTGTGTGTGTGTGTGTCGATAATAATGCTAGAACGAAGGAGCTACACTATCAATACTTGTCATATACGGTATATATTTTCGCCAGGGCACCTTCAGAGCAGCTCCCAGAAAGCCCCTAGGACATCCCCCCAGGACACCCCCCAGGGCACCCCCCAGGACACCTAGGACACCCCCAGGGCACCTCAGGACACTCCCCCTAGGGCATCCCCAGGACACCCAGGGCTCCCCAGGACACCCCAGGGCACCCTCAGGACACCCCAGGGGACACCCCAGGGCTCCCCCAGGACAGGACACCCCCAGGGCACCCCCCAGGACACCCCCAGGGCACCCCCAGGACACTTTCCAGGCACCCCCACCCAAGCCGGTCTTTGGACTCAAAGGTGGAGGTAAAAAACGAGAGGCTTCACCCGGGTGGGTTGGGACCACACATAAGTGCCTCTAATTACCGTATTATTGTTACTATTATTATATACAAAGTAACATTATGTCGGGGAGAGCACAGAGCGGTAAATAATTATGGTGTGTTGGCTGTGAAGACCATGTTGGCCCAGGGGAGGTAAGTATACTATATAGGGTATATATATATATATATATACACACACGAGTCGCTCATAGAACAAGGATCACCGATGTTTCTTTTATATACGTTTAGAGTCCAAGGTAACTCTTAAGTACTCTAAGAGTCTGGACACCAAACTTGACTGTTGACGGAGTGGGGCGGTCAAGTGCACTGCCTGCCACTATGATTCAGTGTGTACAGAAGACTTATAGTGAACTCTATCTGTCTCTGGCGAGCAGTCCTGTCCTCGAGACCAACTTATACTGTACTTAATCCACTTATTAATACAGTACAGCTGCCGAAACACTGTGTACGGTGTGTTCAGTCCTGGGTCTTCAGGAATTGGCCTAACTAACATCAGATAAGTATTCCCACACAGTCTGACCTGTCGACTGAACGATGACGTAATCGGTACAAGTAATTAATCACGTCTTAGTTCATCAGTGTGTTACAAATATTTAATGGAAGAGCAGAGATGGAGATATGAAGAGAATTGGTTCCCGAACACTTCCCTGGGGGACACCATGGGACTGTTCAC